GGAAAAGACGGTGGGTGGGCGTGCAAGCGCCGTTCCCGCCCCTCCTTCCGTTCTCTCTTCTCTCCTTTCCTCCTTGTCCTGCTCCTCCTCCTCCTCCTCCTCCGGCGGGGGGCGTGAGGATCCGGCATCGCTCACAACCATCGGGACAACCATCGGGACAACCATCGGAACAACCATCGGGACAACCATCGGGACAATCATCGGGACAGTCATCGGGACAACGATCGGGACAAGCACAACCATCAGGACAACCATCGGGACAATCATCGGGACAACGATCGGGACAACCACAACCATCAGGACAACCATCGGGACAACCATCGAGACAACCATCGGGACAACCATATCCTCTCTCTCTTGTGTATTCCCACATCCCTCAGGAATTTGCCCTAAAGATGTGATCAACTATCTTGTGAGTACGTATCATGTGTATCATGTGTATCATGTACCATATGCATCATATGCAACAGATGTTCTGTGGAAGGCTTAACAACTTCTGTGGGTTAACAAGGCTTAACAACTTCTGTGGGTGTACGAACGTAGGCTTAACAACTTCTGTGGGTGTGTACTCCACGCCAGTGTAGTAGCCACGGTCGTCCGCAGGCCACGAAGTGAAGTGTCCGAACGTCATAGGGCGGGAAGCTGGGTGTGGGTGGTGGCGAAGAGTCGTGTGGATATTTGGTAGAGCTTGCACTGCCCCCCCACAAAGTGGGGGTATTGGCTGGCGTCGCATGAAAACCCTGGCACTGGTGAGAACACTGAGCGTTCGGGTAAAGTGATTGTTGTTGTTGTTGTTGTTGTTGTTGTTGTTGTTGTTGTTGTTGTTGTTGTTGTTGTTGTTATTGTTGCTGTCCGTTTCTGGATCTCCTGCACTGCTGGGCCCTCGCCGTGGAGTCCGCATCGCCGCGCGTCTGTTCCTCCTCCTCACCTTCTCCCGTCCTCCTCCTCCTCCTCCTCCTCCTCCTCCTCCTCCCTGATCCCGTGCTGCTCCTCCTCGGGCCGGGGAGGCGTGGCTGCTCGGGCATGCGCAAAGGGGAATTCCCCGCGCGCTTGGCGATCCCGACCAGGGTCGGTGGATCTAAGGGCGCACTCGAGGAGGGGGCCGTGCTCCACGGACCACCGTCGGGTCCCCGCAAAGGGTGTATGTGTGTGTGTGTGTGTGTGTGTGCCCCGTGTGTGTGTGTGTGTGTGTGTGTGTGCGTGTGTGTGTGTGTGTGTGTGTGTGTGTGTGTGTGTGTGTGTGTGTCTGTGTGCGTGCGTGCGTGCGTGCGTGCGTGCGTGCGTGCGTGCGTGCGTGCGTGCGCGCGTGCGTGTGTGTGTGTGTGTGTGTGTGTGTGTGTGTGTGTGTGTGTGTGTGTGTGTGTGTGTGTGTGTCTGTGCTGTGTGGTGTTGTGTGTGTGTGTTGTGTTCGTGCGTGCGTGCGTGCGTGCGTGCGTGCGTGCGTGCGTGCGTGCCGTGCGTGCGCGCGTGCGTGTGTGTGTGTGTGTGTTGTGTGTGTGTGTGCGTGTTTGGTGTGCGTGTGTGTGTTGTGTGTGTGTGTGTGTGTGTGTGTGTGTGTGTGTTCGTGCGTGCGTGCGTGCGTGCGTGCGTGCGTGCGTGCGTGCGTGCGTGCGTGCGTGCGTGTGTGAGTGTGTGCCTGTGTGTGTGTGCGTGTGTGAGTGAGTGAGAGAGAGAGAGAGAGAGAGAGATATAAAAAGAGAGAGAGAGAGAGAGAAAGAGAAAGAGTTCGATCGGTTTCTGCACCGAACCACCCCAAACAGGTGCCCCCCCCCAGCCGCGGGCAGCTCCCGATGGGTGCCGACAGGTGGGGCATGCGGGGGGCGTCTGTCTGCGGCAGCTCGGCGCACCAGCGGCTCGAGCTCGTGCCCCCCCTCGGGGTCACCCCCCTTTGGGTGGAGATCCCGACGCCGAGCGGTACGCTGACGCCCCTCCCGCGCCCGACTGGGACCGCGGGGGGGCGGTGGGCCACTGGGGCACCGAGCTGCACCCCGGCGCCCACCCGACGCCAGGGGTGGGCCACGGGCCACGGCCCGCCGAGTCTGAAGTCGGGCCTGTCCATGTACAGGGCGAATCTGCGAAAATAGTCAAGAAAAAACAGGCGGGGGACGATGTTTTGCTTTGACCATGTTTGAACATTTTGGAGTATTTTTGGGGTGATTTTAGTTTTTCGCCCAACGTCTCCCTGTAGGGGGACAAGGCCCGACCTAAGCTGAGTCCCACGCGAGGAGGCCATGGGGGGGGGGGGCACGGCCACAGGCCACCGAGGGGTCGCATCCTGACGCCCACCGAGGGACAGCGAAAACAGAAGAAGCCTCGAGGGGCCACGAGCGGGCCAGGCTCCGTTCCTCCTCCTTCTGCTGCTCATCCCACTCCACCTCCCCCTCCTCCTCCTCCTCCTCCTCCTCCTCCTTATCCTTGCGCTCCTCCTCCCCCTCCTCGCCTACCCCTCCTCCTCCTCCTCCTCCTCCCCCTCCCCCTCCTCCTCCTCCTCCCCCTCCTCCTCCTCCTCCTCCTCCTCCTCCTCCTCCTCCTTCTCCTTATCCTTGCGCTCTCCCACCCCACCACGAAGCGGCCACGAAAGGGCCACGAGGGCGCCACGGCCCAGGACCACCGCATCGCATCCTGACGCCCACGCAGCACGCGGGGAGGACCAAGGGGGGGCCAACGGCCACGTGATTCTCTCCCTGGAGATCGCCCCGCACACGAGGGGGCCCTCGCGGGAACCACGGGTCGTGGACCACATCTTGGCGCTCAATTCGCAGACGAGGGAGGCAGGAGGGGGGACCGTGGGCACGGCCCATCGGAGCGCATCTCTGCGTGCCGCCCGCGCACGAGGGGGTTCTAATGAGGCCACGGGCCACAGACCACCGAATCGCATCCTGACGCTCCCCTTCCCTCGAAGCAGAGAGAGAGCGCTATGAACATACACTTTTGGCGCTCCGCGCGGAGCGCCAAAAAGGTTCCGTCTATAGCGTTTTCGCCCTCCGTGTGTTCCCACAAGAAGGGGCCCCGAGGGAGCCACGGGCCAGGAGATCCGCTGCGTCGCACCCCGGCGGCTGCCCCCGACTCACGAGAGCAGGGGGGGCCCGTGAAGGGGGCCACGGGCCAGGGCCCGCCGAGTCGGATCTTGCCTTCGGTCGGGCACGTCCCTCTCCAGGGAGGATCGGGGGAGGGCCCCCCCCCAGTCCGAGCGCCCCCCCTTGGACAAGCGGGGGGGGAGGGGGGCGGTTCGACCCCCCCGCGGGGGTGGGCGGGGGACGGCGGTCAGAGAGGCCAGTGTCTGGGCTCTCCCACCCACCCCTGTTCTCTGGGCGTTTCTCGTGTTCAGGCCCCCCCCCCCCAACACCTCCAGTCTCAAGTCGGGCCTGTCCCTCTACAGGAGGATAATCAAAACAGTTGAAAAATAGTCGAGGGACGATTTTCTGAGTTTTTTTTGTTGTTTGTGTCTATTTTGGAGTATTTCTAGGGGGATTTGATTCTTCGTCCAAAATCCGCCTGTGGGGGGACATGCCCGACCTAGATCTTGCCCTTCGCTCCAGACACGAGGCGGCCCCAGCGGCACCCGATCGCATCACTGGGACTGGTTCGTATGAGCAGAGAGCTAGCACAGTTGCTGACAACCTGTGAGTCTAGCTCTCATACCAGGGCTGTCTGGGTCGATGCACGTGAGCAGACAGCTTGCCTCTGACACAGTTGTTTCATCATTTGCAGCCGCTTTGCATGTCTGATAACAACTAGATTGTCTCTGGTTTCGCCAGAAAGGTCCCACTGTGGGCTGCGTGCCACTTGACGACGCCCCCGGGTCGCATCCCGACGCTCACCCTACACATGAGGGACCCGCCGAAGGGGCCTGGGGCCATGGGCCACCGAGTCAAAGCTCCACTTGCCAAGCTGGCAGGGGGCAAAAGCGACGCCTCGGGCCGCCATTTCAGCGAGCCACCGGCACCCGTCCTCGCAGAGTTACAGAGCACCCTGCGGCTAGTGCGAGCTCTCCGGGAGATCCGGGAGAGGGAAGGACAGCTGCTCCGCCTCTGCCCCCAAAGCGCATGGCGACTTTCCTGGTGTGCCGCGGGTACCACGTCTTCAGGCCGCGTTTTTGCGCGCGTCTCTCTCCCTCTCTCTCTCTGACATCGACACCCTGCTCTCCGTTTTCTCCCTTGATTTTCCTCCAGCTCCTCTTCCCGTTTTCCGCCTGACGGCGGCAGGATGAGGGTCAGCAGGCGTCGGTGCTGCAAACTCTTGGGGCTGTGAACATCTGGTGTTGGGCCATACTGATTCCCAACTCTCGTCGGGTGAAAGAGGGCGGCGGGGAGAGGACGGAGAAGGTATGGCGGGGTGGGTGAGTGTAAAGGGGAGAGGGGGGGGGGAGGGGAAGGGAGGGTTGGGGATTGAGGGGGAGGCAGTGGGAAGAAGGGCAGTGATGGGGCAGGGAGAAAGGGAGCTAGAAGGGGGAGTGTGTAGAGGGGAGCACAAGAGCGGGCGGGCGGATGGGACCCGACCTGGGTCATCAGGTTGAGGTGGGTGTTTCACTGTAGCCCCTCAGGTATTTGTGCAACCCGTGACACTGGGCTCAAGTAGTTGTAACCAACGGCCGTGTGACACAGCTTTGTACTTCAGCGTAGGCCGCTAATTGTAAAACAGAGGTCGATCCTCATTACCACCGTTCTGTTAAACAATCTGCAGGAGGGAGACCGGAAGGAGAGCAGCAGAGAGCGGCGGGAAGCAGCAGAAAACAGCAGGATGCAGCAGAGGGCAGGGGAGAGCAGGGTAGAGCAGTAGAGTACAACGCTCGGGCGGTCGGACTCACTCACACTCAGCCTTACTCGCTCTCATCATAGCTCACACTCAGACTCTCCACGAGTAGCGCGCCATAACACATATTTATGAACTTATTGGGATACCCACGCAAGAGGAAGCGGCTGTGTAATATGTACGTACATGTACATTTTGAAGTAATGTGTATGCGCGCATTTGGATCTCTGCGTGGAGTTAATTTGTGGCGCCAGCGACGACGATTGACGACGGTCGACGGTCGACGACGAACGGCGGAGCGACCAATGGCGAGCGGCGAACGGCGAAGAACGACGAGAAGCGAACGAAGATGACGACGACACCAGCGATGGCTGACGATGACGGCGAACAGAGACGACGGTAAACGACGACACATCAATGACGCCCAACGACCATCGGCGAACGACGGGGACGACGACAACGAACGACAATCGAGCACGGTGACGGCGGCGGCGGCGGCGGCTTTCGCAGTTTCTCCTCTGGGGGCGTCCAGAGGTGCCTGGGGGTGGGTCTCCAAGGGTATCCGGATGCGCCTGGAGGTAATGAGCACGGACACGTTAGATTACCCAGCGACGCCCCAAACCCACTTGTAACATGTGGGGCTCATCCAAGACGAACGGATATTTGCGAGGCCTTACGGCCTGTGCCGCCGACCCTGAACGACGACGACGACGGCGATGACGACGACGATCAGTATGAACGGGATCATCCAAGACGAACGGATAATTGCAAGGGCACGCTGTCCCGTTCGAAAAGGACCGCCCTTGGGTCGGCGTCACCCCAACATACTTATACTATGTGTGCGTCGCCCCCCCAGGGGCGACGCGCGCACCGAGAAATCTCATAGTATTTGCGTCGTGGCGGGCGCTTTCTGGCCAGACCGCTCGGACGCGCGCCTCCAAGGAGGACATCCAGTACTGGTATGTCTTTGTGCGTCCTTTCGTGGGCGTGAGGGAGCGCTGCTCCCAGTGGCCACCGCACTGGGGGGGCGTCTTCGGAGCTGGCCTCTCCCGCAACGGGGGGCGGGCGCGGGGGCGCGGAGAGCAGCGCACGCCGCGCTCCACGTTGGCGCGATGCGCGATGTAGGGCGCCCTAGGTCGGGAACAAGAACGACGAGGAGGAGGAGGAGGAGTAGGAGGAGGAGGAGGCGGAGGAGGAGGAGGAGGAGGAAGAGGAGGAGCACCCCTGTAGCGAAGTAGGGTGCCCTAGGTCGGGAACAAGACCATGTACTATGGTCGTTTTTGTTGTTGATTGTTTTGCCGATCGGCGCGGGCCCTCGCGCCTTCCCGCTCCCCTCCCTCCCCCCCCCTCGCGGAGTAGATCTTGGCCGTTTTTTGGCGCCTGTTTCGAGCAGGTGGCGTCTCCCCCCACAGGACGCACTGTCGCAAACAGTCGCATTAAGCAGAGGTCTGGAGCCAGACCCCCCCCCTCCCTCCCCCTCCTCCGCCCAATGTCGAAACTCAAGCAAGCAAGAGACTGCGTGCACAAAACGGCACATTAGTACGGGAAACAAAAGTTAACCGCCGTTATGGCAGTACTCCTTCACAACGGCTTCCCACTCACTCTGTGGCCTGTGGCTCAGCAGTGTGTTGAGCCTCTCTTCATTGCCAGCAGCTGCAAGCGCGTGCTTGAAAACACCTTTCGCCCAACTAGTTTTGGGTCTGCCGCGGCGCCTTTGGCCCGCCGGCTCTCTAGGCTGAAATGACAAACACTCGGGGTCGAAAACGTTTTGCCTCACTATGTCGGTCGTGTGTCGCCTAGCCAGCGCCCCCATGAACCTGAGCTGCCTCTCCAACAGCATGCTGCTCATACGCTGAGCACCGGCTTGCTGTAGAACCGAGGCGTTGGTCACACGGCTGTAATATGACAACGGTAGATTCATGATTCTTCTCAAGCACCTGTTCTGAAACCCATCGATCTTCCGGGTCTCCGCGGTGGACAGCCACAGCGAGTGCAGGTTGTACAGAAGCTTACTGACAACGCAAACGTTGAACATCTCCAGCTTTCTAGCTTGAGAAATTCTGGAGTGGGACCAGATGCGGCGTAGTTGATCAAATTCTTCCCGTGCAGCTCCAATTCGGCGATTGAGCTCTGATCCGGACGTTCCGTCAGATGTGATCGTGCAGCCCAGGTAAACAATTTTACCTCTCGGTTGGATTGCATCGCCTGTCGGCGCAAGGATGCTAGCGACGTCCGTGGAGGAAACGAGCTCCAACTTCTTCCAGTTGAAACTCAAGCCGTAGACGCCCGCTCGTCGCACGCAGTGCATGTACTCCTCTACGCTGCCGATGTCAACGTCGATCAGAAGAGTGTCCTCTGCATAAAGGATCTCATTGGCATACGTATTGGTAGAAAGGTGCGTCCCATATGCTTCCAGGAGCTCCTTGGCGTCGGTGATGAGGACCGTCATGACCATGCTGAAGAGGTACGGGGACAACGGGCAACCCTGGCAGATTCCGTAGTGTTGCCTCCTGTGGCCCGATTGCCTGGCAGCGTCAGATACAAAGAACCACCGATTCGCGTAGACCGCCTCGATGCATCGTAGGAATTTGACTGGCAGGCCAAATCTCTTCAATGACTGACATAATGCCTCTGGCGCGATCGAGTCAAAAGCCTTGGCCCAATCGAGGGCTAGAAGCACCAACCGCTTATCCTGCATTGCATTCGCCTCCTCAACGATCCTGCGGACGAGGAAGAACGCGTCGAGGGTGCCACGACCAGGGCGAAAACCGAATTGGTTGTCCCAAATGCGCTCGTCAGCACCAGCTTTGATCAACCGCTGCAATAGAATCGATGCAAACAGCTTGTATCCGATCTGTAGAAGTGAAATAGGCGTATAATTCCCACAATCGGCAACATCACCCTTCTTGAAAATCATGGCGACACGCGCCTCGTGCCATTTCTTTGGCACTGCTCCGTGCGACCAACATTTCCGACAAAGTTCCAATGCCCGCTGGCACGCTTTACTTCCTCTCTTACAAATCTGCTTCCAAAATTCTGGGGGTAGGTCGTACCTTGAGCTTTGCCGCCGCTGTCACAATCTCGCTCTCGGATATGTCGTGCATGTCGACGTCTAACCGGCTCCAAAGGCCGCACTGCCCACTGCGCCTTCTCCAAGTACTCGGCCATCGTGTCTGCCCGTTCCTTTGAACTGACAAGACGACCTTGCATTTCCTTCAACCGCCCTTGTCTGTGACGTACGACTTTGCGGAGAGATTTGACTTGGTCCCACGGCCCTTTTTCCAACAGGGATGTGAGCCATTGATCTTTATCTATCTTGACAGACTGTTTTACCCCACGGTTCAAAGCTC